ACTCGACCACGCCTACCCTAAAAAAATTCGTTTAATCCCCCGGTTCTTCACAAATCATCAAAAGCTGTGACAGTGTTAACAGCCAGTTAAACCGAAAATCGCTTCCAAAAAAAACAACGTGTATTTCAATGGCAAGCCAACACAGTGTGAATGATCTCCGTTCAGACTGTCGATACATAGTTCAACAAGTCGTAATGATTTTTGTTTGTTAATAACATGTAATATTCATATGCATGCAGAAATGCAGATATTTTCTTTGATCCCTTACATTGAATAAAAGCTCTTCTTGTGAACTTTTTTTATCAACTGGCTTATATGTGCGTGCATGCGTGCGTGTGTGTGCGCTTGTGCGTGCGTGCATGTGTGGGGGGTAGGTGGGGTTGGGGTGAGGGTTTGGGGTTTGGGGTAAGTGTGTGGAGGGATGGGTGGGTGGTTGTTTTGGTGGGGGGGGGGTGCAAAAGCAGCATTAACATTGCCTTCGTCATTATTTTTTTCTTTGCCTTCTTCACTTACTTGGTATAATGTGTCATTTTGAAGCAGATCTAACATTTTCGGATGCAGTTCATGTTCAGTTGTCTTTTGATTATGTAACCCCACCCACATGCAAGCAATGCACAGCATAAAGTTATCTCAGTCTGTGTTGAATTAATTTCTCGAAGTAAACACTTCAGCAGATTTGGTCTTTCGCGAATAAAACCAAAACAAAATCGTCATTGAATAAAATCTAGTATTTTATTAACGATATAGCGTTTTTACGAAAAAATGTTAACGTCTTTTTTTTTCCTGCTATTAGACGATATAAACACCCAACAAGCGTAATGAAACGTTTAAAAAAAAAATTCATAAAAAACGTTTTAATAACAAGCTTTTATGTAATGATGCACCAAAAAGTAGAAAATAAATTATAGACTACTATTTAAATAACTATAAAGAAAAGCGTGGGTCACTTTAGTATCTATTGGATACCTTTACTAATGTTAAGGAAGACACCCACGCTTTTCTTTATAGTTATTTAAATAGTAGTCTATAATTTATTTTCTACTTTTTGGTGCATCATTACATAAAAGCTTGTTATTAAAACGTTTTTTATGAATTTTTTTTCAGTACTTTACATGTTTTATTTACAATAGAGTTACATGACTAAAAACCATTGCGCGCCTACTGAACATCATGTTCAGTAGGCGCGCAATGGTTTTTGAACGCAGCCATTACGTGATGGCGCAGCTATTGAAGGTGATGACGCGTGTGGTGTGGTTGGCTAGACATGCCTACTTATTCGGTCCAAATTTTAATTAATTAATAAAAAATTAATTAGGCATCCGATTAAGTCAAATTTAGTTTCAGATTGCATTGTCTTCATGTCTTGACCCACGTGCCAACTGTGAATCGTATCTGTCAAGTAGAACTGTCCGAATTTTCACTCCTGCGTTTCCGTCTAGACTGACGACAGACAGAGGAAGTGAGTTAAATAAAAGCTTGTAAAAACTTCTGCGTTGGTTCCTGCTATAAATTTTTTATGTTTTATATGGAGGTTTTGTGGGTTATGGATATTTTAAAGAGAGATATAATAGCTCTACTCACAATTGTTATTGTTGTTGGTTTTTTTTTTTTTGTTGTTGTTTTTTTGTTGTTTTTTTTTAAGAGTTCACAATAAAGGCAAAGCTGTTTTACAAGAATATATTTTAAACATTTTTTTTAAATAAGAAGAAAGGTATTTTAAATTGTATTTCTAGACACATTTCACGGTTCCTACTTTTTAACTACCACAACCCCCGCCCCCACCCCCAACATCAACTGGCATCTCAGCAACACTGCGGTTTCACAACTGCTTACTCTCAGCGATACCGGCATTTTTTTAACACCACTCTATGACGTATTGCTAATATCGCTACACCAGCTCAGAGGCGTATCGACCCTTCCCGGCGGCCGGGGACAAACTTTCGATTTGCACCCCCCCCCCCCTCAAACTTTCGATTTGCACCCCCCCCCCGAACTTTTCATTTGCACCCCCCTCTCAAACTTTCAATTTGGCGCCCCCCCCCCCCCTAAGGTCGGCGCCCGGGGACATATGTCCCCCCTCCCTCGCTACGCCTCTGCACCAGCTACTAAACAAGAAACTGTAATCCGAAGTGTGCTTAGCGTCTCTCTCCAAATATAAATCAAGCAAAACGACCGGGTTCACCGGTAGCATTGTCAGACTAGTCTCGCCCACACTGATAATATCCCTTGTAATTATTCGTTTGAACTCGGCTGTGATTTCGTTACGAGTGTGGTAAGCCAATCAGTTCTCAGAGCAGAGACTGAATGGGTTGCACTGGGAGTTTTATGCTGTGCGTACAAACGCTTCTAGGTAATGTACAATTTGATGAAATATCATTCTTTTAAATTTCCCGCTAACATACATTCAATTTATTATATAATAATATTATAATTTTTATTTAATTTTTTTCTTATCCTACAGTAACATGTCTATCTTAACTTATCCTACAGTAACATGTCTATGATGTTGTCTTATCCTACAGTAAAATGTCTGTCATATTCTATAATAAAATGTCTGTCCCTTCATACCCAACAGTAACATCTGTCTCATGTCTTATTCTACTGTAAAAATGTCTGTCCCTTTTTACCCAACAGTAACATCTCTCTCATGTCTTATCCTACTGTAAAAATGTCTGTCCCTTTTTACACAACAGTAACATCTCTACTATGTGAGTTCAGAGACTTCGACTTCCAATTGATGTCGGCCGGCGAGTACTTCTTGGTGCCTATAGGCGAAGAATACACTTCGTCAACAATGCTAAGCTGTGCCGCGTATTGCGGACTTCTGAGAGACGAATGCTTCAGCTTTATCTTTGACGAGTCTGTCCAACTGTGCATGCTAGGTATGTTTGCAACACATCAGACAGATTGTTTATGCGACTTTAGTTAGAGTGTTTGTCTACCTTGGGTAATGTAATTTTTAGCGCAATTTCCATACTGACAATTGCGATTATTAATTCGTTATTTCTGGATGGATGTGTGTCCGCAGGTTTAAGTCGTATCTCCTCCTCAACGAAGCAATATCGAGGACTAGTTCCAAAAGCAAATATGTTAAGCAAGTTCCGATGATGATTGTGGGCCGAAAAAATTCCCGGAATACTTTCCTGGATTTCCCGGAAAAGCCAAAAAAACTCGAAAAAATGCAGTTGTTGGCCCATATCTCGGCAACCAGACTACTTAGCGACTTGAAACATTTACCAATCGATTCCTGCCATAATTTAGAACAATATTGCCGAAGAAAGTTTTTAAAAATATCCTTTCGTTCGGTCACAAAAAAATTGTTATGGATAACATAAGGAAATTGCGCTTAAATTGTCACTAGACTTTTTATTAACTTTTTTTTACAGCATTTGATAAATCATATTTTTTAAAACAAAATGTCAAAACAAGAACACTATGTTATTTTTTTATGTTTAATGGTTTTTAAAATCTTTTTTAATCTTTTAAATAACTTAATTTATGTAATGTAAAAGTATTTTTAACATAAACAAATGCGGATACTATTTTTATTTTGCTAAAGCATGGACGCATTTTAACTTACTAACACAATTATGAGAACAAAAAAAAATTCTTTGTTTAGTCAGTATAAAAAATTCTTACACAAGCTGCGTTTTCCACTTTATAAACACACACACACACACACACACACACACACACACATATATATATATATATATATATATATATATATATATATATATATATATATATATATATATATATATATATATATATATATATATATATACATATATATATATATATAAATATTTATATATATATATATATATATATAGGCCTATATATATATATATATATATATATATACATAGGCTAATAGATATAGATCTATACATAGATACATATAGCTATATACATAAACATGAATATTTGCCTATATATATGTATATATATATATATAATATATATATATATATGTATATATATATATATATATATATATATATATATATATATATATATATATATATATATATATATATATATATATAAATATATATATACACATATATATATATACATATATATATATATAAGCATTATATATACATATACATATACACACATATATATATATATATATATATATATATATATATATATATATATATATATATATATATATATACGTATATATAATGTTCTTCTAGCAACCTGGGCTATACCCCCTACCTCAGTGGACACCGCCAACTACCCAACTCAGTTTGGCGAATCAATGCGGAAGTTTTCGCTGTGAAAATTTTGTAACGTGACTGAGGTGATTGTTCCGTTGGAGAGGGGTCGCCTGTCATCCTGCGATATATCATCTTGTCTAGGTAGGGGACATGAGATTTGACATTTGACATTTACTCTATATCCTGTTGTAGAGGACATTAAATAACTTCATACGGCCTTAAAATGATTTATTTTAAATCATTAAAAATAGTTCCAACTATTCATCTCCTTCTATGAGTTTATAGTAACATTATAACAAGAATTATGGAAAATTTAGTATAGTTAAAATAATAAACTGTTTTTTTTTCATTGTAATATCTTCTTGTTTTTATATGCTATTTTATTTTAAAGCATGGCTTTAATTAATTACTTTAAAAAATACACTTAATTTTTTTCTTATGTGTCTGTAAGTGTTTATAGAGGTAGGCAGCAACCCAACCTTGGACCTCAACAAATTGTACAGGTCATGTAAAGACGTCACGGACACAACACAGCCAAGACAACTGGTCAAGCTGACGTCAGGACTGGTGGTCATGTGTGACACACAGACAGACGGCGGAGGGTGGACGATTTTTCAACGCCGCATTTCCGGAGCCGTCGATTTTTACCGGAACTGGACGGAATACAGAAATGGGTTTGGGGACTACGGTTTGGGTAATTTTTACCTGGGTAATGAAAATATTTACTGCATGAGTTCATATTCTTTCCATGAATTGCGAATTGATATGGAATACAAAGGAAAGAGCTACTACGCGTTGTATTCTTCATTCTTGTTATTTTCTGAGGCGGAAAGCTACAAACTGTCATTGGGCAGTTTCATTGGAAACGTTACAAATTCCCTGACGAAGACTAACAACAATCAGAAGTTCAGCACATACGACAGGGACAATGATATCGACAGCACAAGAAACTGCGCCAAGGTGTTCCTTGGGGGATGGTGGTACAAGAACTGCCACAATGTAAACCTCAATGGCGAATGGGGAAGCAAAGTTTACGGTGCAAACCTTGTTTGGTTCGATCTAACGGGGCAGTATGACGGTGTGAGCTTCAGCGAGATGAAAATCAGACCGATAGGTTGACGCAGTGGTGGAACTTTGGTGCCGCAGAAATCACTAAAATTGAGAATAGGGGGGAGGGGGGGGATAGATATCAAATTCCAAAAAAAATCGCAAAAAGAAAAAAGCGCAAATACATACAAATTATTATAATACAATTTAATTTAGTTATATTTCGTGGAAAAGTGTTTAATTAAGCTACAATGTACATGTAGTCACTCTTTGTTAATTCCTATGAATGCTCGATTTAAAAAAAAATGATCTTGCGCACATTTTTGTGAGCAATTTTCCATTGCGTATTTTTCCGTTGCGTATCTTTCCGTTCACTTAAAAATCCAACGGTCAACAAAAACAAATATTAAATTTCTAAATGAGATTGATAGTTTTGGTAAAATGTAATATTAATGTTCCTGTGGTGGGGGTTATCTTTATTCTACAGTCATTAACCCACGTTGGTGCGAGCAAAATTGTATTTAAAAACACAATACGGATTTTTGTATGTATGATATTAAAGTTTTCGTTGGTGGATTAAAGATCAGCAAGAAAGTAATTTTTTATTGTAATAGCTTTTTTGTGGAATTTTAATGCAGATAATTCTACTGATACTGACCTTCTATAAAAGACCCATAAACTTTGACTCGTTTCATGATGTTGATAGGAATAGGTTTTGACGCAGATCGATTTTTTACCCATTTTCCATAAAATATTTTCCCCACAGGTAAATAATTCGATACACAAACCTTTTAAAATCGCTTGATTTAATCAGTCTTAAACGTATATGCTACTATTATTCTCTTTGTATTCAAAATATAAGTTTAAAACACATTCCTTAAATGTTACAGTTGCATATATATATATATATATATATATATATATATATATATATATATATATATATATATATATATATATATATATATATATATACTTATTCTTTTACTAATCTGTTTGAATTAAAAAAGAAATTTAAACATTAAACATAATTATTTCATAAATTGTGCATCAAAATATTTCAAATTTTGTACTTTACTAAATTTTGCCTATTTAAATTTTGTAATATCTCCAAACATACACACCATAAATTTGCGCTCATACGCTTAAACTCTACCGATTTTAGGCTAATGTGCTTGGTATAGCCTATATAATTTGCTACCTAGATATACATTAATTCAAATAAGAATAATTTAATTAATTTCAATATTTTGAAAAAGATATATAATACGAGGCTTAAAGTAATTTTTTTCTGAATCGTTGGAAAGTCTTTTCTTTTCGGTGTAACTTAAATAATATTACTTTCTAATAAACAAATTTAAATATAAATAATCACTATTTCACTTCATAGTGTGTTATGTTCGTTATTTATTTTATAATTCATTGATTGTTCAAAATTAATTATGTAAATGACATAATCGTTTAGAAAACTTCTGGATTCGTTTTCATAAGAAACCCTTGTATATTTTTTAAAGTATTAATATCTCCTCGTCTATAGTGTCTAACAATCATTCTGAATATCAAGTTTCGGACGAAGTGGTCTAGCGGTAGAGAGCTGGACTGCTAACCCGTGTGACTCGAGTTCGAATCCGGATTCAAGTCAGTAGACCGTCCCTGAGTCCACCCAACTCTGATGGGTACCTATCTCACGTTAGGGAAAGTAAAGGCGGCTGGGCATAGTGCTGACCACACTATCTCTTCATTTGCCGAGGTCACAGAAACAAGTGAACTCTACTTCACTTGCCCTACAAACCGTCAGGTTTCAAAAGGGAACTTTACTTATCGACGTCTAGTGTCTAACAATCATTCTGAATAACAAGTTTCGGAAATAAAAAGGAAAAAAATTTAAATAATTGGCGGTGTTATAAAATAAGGTCTTTACCACCCGTACCCCATCTACATAGTATTACAACATTATTAATAATCCATGCAAATTTTGAGTTGTTATAAATAAATAGCTTTTTTTACCGGCCCCTTACCGGTTGTTTCAGCATCGGGATCCAGACAAAGGCCGACACGGACAAAAGGCCGACATGGACAAAAGGCCGACAAGACAAAAGGCAGACAAGACAAAAGGCCGACATCCAAAAGGCCGACATGGACAAAAGGCCGACAAGACAAAAGGCCGACACGGACAAAAGGCCGACATGGACAAAAGGCCGACAAGACAAAGGGCAGACAAGACAAAAGGCCGACACGTTTTATAAATAACAAACTACATGTTTAAAATCTAAAATATGTAATTATATACGACGTTTTAAGTTTCTAATAAATATTCTTAGGTACATACAAAATGATAAAATAAAACACACGATATAACCAATTATTTGTTGCCGATATATTGCTCCATATATAGGGAAATAACAGGGGTAAGTTTACACAAAAAACAAAAATAACGTACCAATTACGGCACACTTGTATCACAATCACAACACAATTAATGAATTCAACGAATATAATATACACTTTTTTTCACGCAATTAGCAATGGACGAAACTAAAATATAATTCAAGTTGTGTCTGTATTTAACATGTAGTCTAGTAAAGGCAGGCGATTGTTCTACTTCTTTCGGTTTCTTTGATTTCTTTGCAAAATACGGTCGTAACGCCACCCATCTGTTTATTCTTTGTACACTTCCGTCATCTCCAGTCGCATGGACCTCATTGTTCGTCTTATAAGGATCGCAACTAGCATTGTCTCTTGGCGTTCCACCTTGTTGCATGTGGGCGATGATGCCGGCGGCTTTTGACTTGGTTCTTTGATGATTATTTCACCTCGATTATATAGAAGGAGCTATGAAAGACAGCAGTGACAGCATTTTGCAATGTTTAGGTGTTGATCCTTTGTGTTTAAGACACTCCCGTAATCTTCAGTCGCTGGACTCGATGGTTCACCTTATAAGGATAGCAACTAGCACCGTCTCTTCTCTTGAACGTTTCACCTTTTTTAATGCCTTATTTCGATGGTTGTCAAGGTAGGAGCTTTGCAAAAACACATATTTTGCGATATTAGTATTTTTTATGCTTGTCGGCCTTATGGTTTGTCGGCCTTATGGTCTGTCGGCCTTATGGTCTGTCGGCCTTATGTCTTGTCGGCCTTATATACTGTCGGCCTTTTGGCTGTCGGCCTTTTGTCCATGTCGGCCTTTTGTCCATGTCGGCCTTTTGTCTGTGTCGGCCTTATGTCTTGTCGGCCTTTTGTCCTACACCCACCGGGATCAATACCTGTAGGCAGTGTTTCTTTCAGGCATATTCGGGGGAGAGGATCGCTGTACCTCCCTCCCCCAGCACGTATAACGCCCCCCCCCCCCCGCCCCACTTCACCGGAATAGAATTTATATAGGAAATATATACTCTCATTACTGCCCATCACCCGTCCAGATCCATCTTCAAGTACCCCCCCCCCCAACCCAACCCCCTGAGAAAAAAAATCTGAAAGAAAAACTGCCTGTAAGACTAATTTTTAAAAAAATAGCGAATTTAAAATTAACAACAAAAAAAAATAATCCACCGTCGGCAGGTAACAATGGAAAACTTTTCAGCATACATTACACAATCTCAACTACACAAATAATTATTTTTTTTGCGTTCTGCCTAAAAAATTATTTAAAATATAATTTTTTTAACATAACCATTTCTCTTTGATGAAGTATAGATTATTTTCACTTGCTTGATTTTTTAAAATACGGCCCCGGTGCGTGATCTGATGGTAGAAACGATAGCTGAAGGTTGGTTTGCTGAGTGCATGAATACATTATCTGTCTCTGTAGGTCTGTATCTGCTTATCCGTAATATTTAAACAATGCCTGCTGTAACGTTAGTGCTAGTGTACCGCCATCTTGCCTAAGACGCCACACTACCTACATCCATTCTTATAACCACCCCCCCCCCCCTGATTTTCTCTAGTTAGGTCAGCTGACTGGTCAGACTGTACTTAATGGCTATGACTGTCCACGTGACACACGTTTGGTTGCTCATGTTATCTCTTACATATTTTCTTTTACCCAGTCGACATTTTAGATAAATCTGAATTTATATTTAAACAATGTACACAATTCCAAGCGCAAAAACAGGGATATATATATATATATATATATATATATATATATATATATATATATATATATATATATATATATATATATATATATATATATATATATATATGCCATTGTCAAAGTGTCTGTTTTAATTAGTCCTTTGTATAGGTCTCTGTTCAGGTCTGACTGATCTAGCTTATTTTATGTTTATTTTTATTTTTTGTGTATTTACTTTGTGTTTATTTTGTGTTTATTGTGTGTTTATTTTGTGTTAGTTTGTAGTTAGTTTGTAGTTAGCTTGTGTTTAGTTTCCGTTTAGTTTCTGTTTAGTTTCTGTTTAGTTTCTGTGTAGTTTCTGTTTAGTTTCTGTTTAGTTTCTGTTTAGTTTCTGTTTAGTTTCTGTTTAGTTTGTGGTTAGTTTGTGGTTAGTTTGTGTTTCGTTTGTGTTAACTTGTGTTTTGTTTGTGTTTAATTTGTGTTTGTGGTTGTATGAGTTTTCAGCTAAGGTTTAAATAATGAACTAAGAACAACACTCTAACTTGTATAATTAGCTGCTTACAACATTCCGTTGGCTGCTTACAACATTTGTCGAGTTCAAGACATACAGAAGAGCGTTCATAATTTATCGAAGCCGAATCTCTTCCATCGTGACCTAAGCATCAAGCTCACTGATTAGACAATAGCCTCTTCATAGGAACCTATTTAACCCTTTGTGGACTGGCCCGGCCGGTCAATACTGTTGTTAGAACATGCTGCATTAACCCTTCACGTACAGTGGGTTATTTACTAGCTATTCAGATTTCGCTTTTTGTGAACATACATAATTATCCTACCGCCGTAAAACAATGGCTTACAGAAAATATTTTTCAAAACA